CTCAAAAAACAAACTAAAACTCACTCAGTCTGTTGTTTTAAATAAACTTATTATTGATGTTCTGTCTTTATTGGTGAACGCGACACATTCTGAGTGTTTTTAGCTTCAATATTTGACTTAAATCAACATAATTATAAACATTAAATGAAACATCTAGTTATCGTCACTCAGGTTTGTTGTCTAAGAATTTAAATGTATTAAACGTCCAAACAGATTCATTTCTTTGATATAAATTTCGTTTAAAGCAATAAAACCAACTTTGAAGGTAAATAAAAGTGCAGAAATTCCCGCTGACGGTCTGACTGAGTGTGATGTTGGATCCTAAACTCATATTTTGCATCTTTTTCTTTTTTCTTTTTAAATCTCAGGTTGAAGCGAAAACGACTTGACGTCACAGTTTTTGTACGTAGACGTGATGAGAGAGCAGAAAATAACTAAAGCAGTTCATTAGTCTCGTCAAAAATGAACTAAAAGTTACTAAAAAATGAGTTTTTAAGGTTAATTTTTGTCTCTGAATATTTCGTTCAAACATATTTCTAAAATTCGTGACTGAAAATGTTCAATATTTGCTCAGAGATAAACGGTAGAAGTTAAATTAACGAAGCACAGATTCACTGAATGTTACATTTAATGTGAATTATGTTGATCTGATTTGATCACGTTGTTGCATTAATACCTGATGTTGTTTCATTTCCACTCATTTTTTTGTGCTTTTTAATCCTTTTTAAAGTCACATTTGAGTCATTTTGTGTGTTTTTTTCAAACAGAGCTCCTGAATGCATCGCTGTGTTTATCTAAATGCACATTTTTCTCCTTGTTCCTCATTATTTCTGCTCCGTAGTCGCGGTTCTCGTCACAGGGGATCCTCTGTTCTGGACAGAAGGCGTGAAGGAGGCAGAAAAAAGGAAAACGGCGGCGGCAGCAGCAGAATTAGGTGTTTTCATCCATTGATTAATGGCTCTCTAAAGCGAAGCACATCGAGAGGAGCCGGCCGATCGATAAATTAACTGCCCAAATTCATCATTTTCTACAACAAAAGCTAATTATTTAGACGGCTGCAGGAAAAGAAAAAACACGATATTAACAAGAGTTCATTTAGCAGAGCCGCGGATTCCTGCATGTGAGAACGCCGCAGAACCGCCGCCTCGGCTCGCAGCTTCCTGGAAGGAACCCGGAAAGCTAAAGACGAGTGAGAACCAGAGGAGACGCAGCAGAACCTTCTGATCAAACCTCGTCTTGATTCTAAAGGCGAACGCTGCTCGTCGTTCTGATGGAGCTTCTAGAATCCTGAAATCTGCAGAACAACCTGCAGAACGTTGACGTTTACTCAACAATCGATTTATTTACGTCTGAAACGGTTTGAAGTCACAGAACTGAACTTCCGTCCCTCGTAGATCGTTTTTTTTAGCGGTTTGCTAACGGCTGCTTTGTCTCCAGCTTCCTGTTCGTGTAACGCGGCCGACGTGGCTCGAGTTCTAGAAAGTTCTGCAAAGTTCTACTCATATATTCATTTTTATTTTAGTTCCCAGAATGTTCTCTTTAAAGGCAGGACGACTAAAGATGTTCTAAAGATGTTTGGTGGCAACGCTGTCCAATCGTTAGAACGTTCTGCCTTCGTTATCATGGAACGTTGTGGAACCTTTGTATACGATCTGTGATGTGCTCCTCGGAACGTTACAGGAACGTCTTATGAACAACGTTCCGTCATCTGAGGTCTCCACAACGTTTTCTGAATGTTGCACTGAGAACGTTCTACCTTTGTTGACATGGAACCTTGCATACGTTCTGTGGTGCACTGCTCATAACGTTGTAGTCAGAACGTTCCGCTGTTGTTAAATAATCACTTCACAGGAACGATTTATGACGAACGTTCCGTCATCTGAGGTCTCCACTACGTTTTCTGAATGTTGCACTGAGAACATTTTCCCTTTGTTAACGCTGAGGAAACGTTTTTTTTAATATTTAACATCTGGTTAAGAAACACTTTGTAGAACGTTCTCCTGGAGGACGGTTCCACAGTGATGACAGAGTCAGGACGTTCTCAGTGGAACATTCAGAAACGTTTTCGAGATGTTGGCTTCAGATGACAGAACGTTCTTTACAAGTCGCTACGATAATAAAAGTAGAACTTTTTTTTCCTTTTCGTCAAAGGACACTTTGTAGAAGGTTCTCTACCAGACGTTCCTGTGCTGCGTTATATTAGCAAAGGTGGAACATTCAGTCTGCAACGTTCTGGGGACGTTGTTAATAAAGGAAACTAACGGGACTAAACCCTGCAGGTGAGGCTCATCGTGCTGAATTTGTGTTATTGATTAACTGATTATTGATTGATAATCAAACCCAGCTTCCTGCCACAAACCGTCCCGTTACGACATCTGTGAATCTATTTAAAAAAAAAAGTTCCCACAATGTTCCACGACGACAAACGTTCTCACTGCAAACATCCGCTTTTGAGAATGTTGGAGCGCAACGGTCACCGAACGTCTTTAGAACATCTCTAGTTGTCCTTCACTTAAGAAGAACGTTCTGGGAGCTGAAAGAAAACGTCTCACCGAAAACATCAGCAGAACTTTCTCAGAACCTTTTCGTTTTGCCAGCCGACGCCGGAGCTCTCTGATCCTTCCACCGGGTCTCCATGACCAACACAGGTACACCGTAGACAAACGAGTTCCTACGTATACCTCAGAACCAAAACCACTCGGATCGACCCGACGAGCTTCTCGTTTATACGTTTTACTCTCTGCAAGAGTTCTGAGACCATAAATAGTTTTAAAAAGACCGGTTTTAATTGGTCTTTATATCTAAGTTTGGATGTTTATGTTCTGTGTCTAACATAGAACCACGTAACCTGAGAACAACAACAGAACAAACGAGTTGGAACTAAACGGCTGCTCACCAGTTTTCAGGTCGGATCACAAACGTCACATAAATTCTGATTTCTGAGTCAGAAGTCTTTAACGTTCCCGTGATTCCGGTGCTCGTAAACCCCCGACGGGGCCGATCCGAGCAGGTCTACGGGTCCGGTCCCACTCCGGGTTAATTGAGGCCTCGCCGGTTCGAATCCACGAGGGTTCGTTAGCGCGCCGGTGACGGTAATTCAATTAAAAAGGCTCTGGGTTGGTTTGCGCTGGGCGGCGGCGCGCATGCATAAACACATGCGGCGGCCCGCTGACCCGGCAGCAGCGTGCCGCCGCCGCCGCGTCGCTTCCATTTACATGGCGGCGTGTTGCTGAGGGCCCGCTTTGACATTCAATTAAAACGTTTACATTTCTGCTTAATTAATTCGGTGGATGGCGGCGGGAAAAGACGAATGGACGGGAGGCGCTGACAGGAGGCCGATAACCGGGCGGCGTGTGTGTGTGTGTGTGTGTGTGTGTGTGTGTGTGTGTGTGTGTGTTAAGGTCAGCCGGCTGACGATTATAATTCATCTCTATAGACACGTATTCAGCAGGGACTGATATTCTCCTCTTCAGCTTTATTTCCTGCAGCTGACGCCGCCGCCGCCGCGGGTTGAAGCTCGGCGGCGTTTAGCGGCTCGCTGCTAAAACAACGGCATCGATCGGCGCGTGCAGGAAAATGCGTTTGTTTGTCAATCAGGAGGGAAAAATTAAAAAATCCTCAGAAAGCTGCAGCCTCATGTTTTCCTGCTCTGATTATTGGAAACCAGCTGCTGGAGCTGAACATGAACAGACGGGTCGGCGGTACCAACACCGGGTCGTCCTGGATCCTACAGAACATCGTTTATGGTCGACAAAGAGTTCACATCTATGTCTGTGAGGTCACTAAGTTTCCTGTTTACTCTCTTTGATTCCTTCTGTGTCTCCTTGTCTCCTTTTTGTGTCTCCTTGCCTCCTTGTTTTCTCCCCTTGTCCTTGTTCACCTTGTTTCCTTATCTCCACTCCTTGTCTCCTTGATTCATCTTTGTGTCTCCTAGCCTGCTCTCCTCTCTCCTCACCTCCTCTCCTAGTCCCCCAGCCTCCTCTCCTTGTCTTCTAGCCTCCTTTCCTCCTCTCCTAGCCTTCTCTCCCTGTCTCCTTGTCTCCTCTCACTGTCTCCATGTCTCCTCTTCTAGCCTCCTTGCCTTCTCTCCTTGTCTCCTAACATCCTCTCCTAGTCTCCTTTTCTAGTCTCCTAGCCTTGTCTCATCATCACCTAACCTCCTCTCCCTGTCTCTTTGTCTCCTCTCCATGTTTCCTAGCCTCCTCTCTATGTCTCCTCACCTCCTCTCCTTGTCTCCTAGCCTCCTTTCCATGTCTCCT